TTTTAAGAATTTTTATTTATTTATTTTTTTATTATTATACTTTAAGTTCTAGGGTACATGTGCATAACGTGCAGGTTTGTTACATATGTATACTTGTGCCATGTTGGTGTGCTGCACAAGAATTTTTAAATATGTCATTCTTCATTGGCTTAAGTACATAACGTGACATCTAATTGAAAATTGATCTTTCCTAGAACTAGTCACTAAATCCCTCTAATTGGTGTTTCCTATTTATATCTTAAAGCACATTTCTTAGACTTGGGCAGTTCATTTGTTGTTGTTAGGTATTGTGTAAAAGAAAATTTGTACTTAAGCCTTTTGACTTTTCTTTGATATTTTTTCTTTGTTTATAACTTAAATGAACTGTATGTTATTCAGGGAAGTTTATTTTAAATAAGATTATACCTCTTCTTCCCTCCACCCCTATTCTTCCTTCATTCTATGCTGATATTTTATGTATAAAACAGTGCTACAATGCTACATCTAATGTCAGTTCAATATTCTTTTAACAGGTGGGTGAATTTTCTGGAGCCAATAAGGAAAAGCTTGAAGCCACCATTAATGAATTAGTCTAATCATGTTTTCTGAAAACATAACCAGCCATTGGCTATTTAAAACTTGTAATTTTTTTAATTTACAAAAATATAAAATATGAAGACATAAACCCAGTTGCCATCTGCGTGACAATAAAACATTAATTCTAACACTTTTTAAAACTGGTGTCTGAATAGCTTTCAAAATAAATGCGAAATGATCATTTAATGTATTTTCCTATATTCTCAATCACTTTTTAGTAACCTTGTAGGCCACTGATTATTTTAAGACTTAAAAAACTATTATTGCTACCTTAATGTATTGCTACAAAAATCTCTTGTTAGGGGTAATGCAGGTAATAAAGTAGTATGTTGTTATTTGTTAACTTTTGACAGAGAAAATAGTGTTCTCTGTTCTAGCAGGTAAATCCTCTACGCTCCTCAAAAGATCACCATGACCAAAATGGATGTCCACCCATGAAGGAATTGTTTTGCTTTGTTTGTTTGTTTGTTTTGCCACAAGGATCTTGATTCTCCTCGAAGTATCTGAGGCAGTCTAATTGTATAGGCCAGACATAGGTTCTGTCCTGAGTAGTAAAAGTTGTGGGAAATTATTAGTTATATCATTCAAAGAACATTGTTTCTTGTGTTCTAAGCACAGTAAGGGGTTGGGGGGTTGAAGAAACTATTTTTGAATTTACGTAATAATGAAGAGCAGAATTATCATAAGCCAGGCATCATCTTTCTATTAATTCATGTAATCTTTGCAACAATCCTATTAGATATAGATACTGTAATCCCCGTTTACCAGTAAAGAAACAGACAGAGTGGTAATTTCCCCTGCATCACAACCAGTCAGTGGAGGAGCTGGGATTTGAACCAAAGAAGTCTGGTTCCAGAATATGTGCTTTTTAACTACTACATTGCCCTCAGTGCAACAATCTGAATAAGTAGGAAAATGATGGGCCCTTAGTTGAGTTTCTTTCCTCATGTGAAGTTAGGATGCCAAACTCAGATGATCTCTCAAAATATTAATGGAATGCCTATTATGTGCCAGGCATCATGCTAGGCTTGGAATAAAGATGTGACTAAGACACCCTCATCCTCATACAGTGAACATTCTAGAAGCTGAGACAAACTAGTGAATAATAGGCTGGTATATTCTATAAGGCAAAACCAAAAACTGGGTGCAGTAATTGAGAATAATAGGAGAACCTGCTTTGCATCAGGTGGTTGGACCTGGGTTCTGTGAGGTGACTGTAAGCTGAGAGCTGATGGATGAAAAGGACTTCAACCTGCTGAGAGCCAGGGAATCAGCTTTCCAGCAGAGAGAATGACAGACACAAAGGAGTCAAGGACAGTCAAGAAAGAGCTTGGTACCTTGTAGAATAATCAGAGGAGCATGAAATAAATCTCGATAGAGTGGCAGGGCCAGGTCAGCCCAGGTGTTATTTGTTCTAGAAGGGATGAGAAACCATCGTAGGGTAAGTCAGGGTAACAAGCTTTGATAACAGGAGTTATTTTGCCACCTGTATAGAAAATGGAAACTAAAAACTGGAAAACCAGTTAGGCTTTTAGGTTGTTTTTTGAGATGGAGTTTCGCTCTTGTCACCCAGGTTGGAATGCAATGGCGCAATCTCAGCTCACTGCAACCTCCGCCTCCCAGGGTCAAGCCATTCTCCTGCCTCAGCCTCCTGAGTAGCTAGGATTACAGGCACCCACCACCATGCCCAGTTAATTTTTGTATTTTTAGTAGAGATGAGGTTTCACCATGTTGACCAAGCTGGTCTCGAACTCCTGACTTCAGGTGATCTACCCACCTCATCCTCCCAAAGTGCTGAGATTACAGGCATGAGCCACTGCGCCCAGCCCTAGTTAGGCTTTTGCAATTATCTAGATCAGAGATAATGATGGCTGTGACTAGGAGGACAGTGGGGAGGTGATAGAGATGGAACAGTCTTGTGAGAGGAGGACCCAGGAGTGAATCTCAGGTTTCTGGCGGAAGCCCTGGGTGGTTGGGGTATGATGTGATGTCATGAGTGAGGTGAGGATGGGAGGGAGAAAGGGGTGGTGGTGAGGGAGTCAGTCTCTGGCCCTTCTGAGTTGGGTGCTTCTGTGGTGCACATCCCACTGAAGGTGCTGTGCAGTCTGTTGGGCACCTAGTTGAGAGCTCCAAGGACAGGTCTGGACTGGGATAGAAATTTGAAAGACATTGTCATATAGAATGGCACTTATAAACAAACATGACATCACCCAGGAGGAGTCCAGAGTGAAGAGGGCTCAAGTTAGACTGAAGGACTCAATATTTGGAGGTCAAGTAGAATAGGAACCAACAAAGGAGACTGAAGGATGGCCAGAGGGGAAAGAGAAATACCAGAAGAGGATTTCATCCTGGAAGAACAGAGGAGAGCATTTCAAAAAGGAGGGAATGTCATTTATCAAATTCCCTTGGGGCTAAGAAAGGTAAGATTGAGAAAACAAAATGGAAGTTGGTGATTGCAGCACAAAATTCCTATGGAGGGATGGGGAAGGAAGCCAGTTTGGTGGGAACAGAAATCACATTTCTCATACCTGTCAAACAATCCGGCCACCTCGGCCTCCCAAAGTGCTGGGATTTCAGGCATGAACCACTGTAGCCGGCCCAAATTTGTAGTTATAAAATGAATAAGTTCTGGGAAGCTACTGTGCAGCATAGTTACTATAGTTAATAATACTGTATTGTTTACTTGAAATTTGCTAAGAGTAGGTCTTAAGTATGCTCACCCCACCCCCCACCCCCACACAGACACAAATGGTAACTGGTGATACATTAATTAATGTGATTACTACACAGTGCATTCATATATCAAATAATTACATTGTAAACCTTAAATGTAAGCAATTGTCAATTATACCTCAATAAAGCTGGTAATTTAAAAAAAAGAAAAAGAATGGATTCAGAGCACAATGGGAGAGATTGGTGTTGGTTATGTCTTTCCTCCACCATAACCAGTGAGATGAAAGTGAGCGCAAGGTTGGAGAGAACTTGTCGATTTGGGGATGGGAAGATGGTGTTTCCATCTGACAGTTTGTGTTTTCCAAGCAGGCAGTTTTGAGGAGAAGGTATGAAATTGTTATCTTCACAGTGGCAAAGCAGAGCATAGTTTCTGGGCATAGTTGAGTGCCCACATGAGGTTTGTTAGGACCTCAGAGACCTGCTGTGTGTGCAGGCAACCAAAGGTGGAGAGTTGAAGCTGGAGCAGGATTGGGTCTTGGTAGTTGAGTCCAGTAGCGAGTAGGGATGCAGAGAAGCTGCCAGTACTTTTGAGGGATTGATTATACTGATGCAGTATAGAATCAAGGCTGGAGAAGTAGAGAGGAAAAGCCAAGAAGAGGCTGGTAAGCCAGAGAGAAAGGGGTGAGGATTAGAGGTCTTGACAAGGTCAAAGAAAGGTGGCAGTGGGAGTGACTGAGTAGGCAAACTTTAAGAGGATAGGAGGTGATGAGCAGAGCAAGATTTAAAAACAGGTTTGAGAAATAAATTTCCAGGGAAGACAAAGACTAGGGTGACCATGAGAAGATGGTGAAGTGGGATAGAGGAAGATTGGAACTCAGCAGGTCAAGGATTTGAGGCCAGGAGCATACATGGGTTTCAGGGAAAGAAAATGGGCATAGGGATGGAAAGAGAAGTCTGTGAGGTGAACCATCTTTAGTGAGTGAGGCTGACAGCAGATGGCAGCAATAAGGAAGGTAGGAAGTGGGTACAACTTAATGAATGAGTTTCAAAGGAGTAGGAGATTTTGCAAGAAGTGGTTTGGAAGGGGCCTTAGGTGGGGAGGCAAGCAAAAAATCCAGTCACCTGACTTGGGTATGTGGAGTGTAAAGTGTTGGGGAGGGGGAGCCCTTAGGAGATTTCTGTTAAGGAAGGAGTTGATGTTCCAAGAACACATAAAAGATACAGAGACAGTTCGTGATCCAAAGCAAGATTCCAGCAGGTACTGTGAAAGGGACTGGGAGGGAGGGTTTGTTCAGGTTCAGAACATGGCTCTAAATTTTGGCAGCACTGAGAATCAACTAGGGAGCTTTCCAAAGACAAAAGGGATGTTGGGATTCCACTCCCAGAGATTTTGCTGTAAATGGTCTTGGTGTTGCCTGGACACTTTTGATGATCTGATGTGCATTCAAGGTTGAGAACCAGCAGTTTAAGGGATATAAAATATGGCCAGGAGATGATGGGTGACCAGTTGATCACCCATCTCTGACAGTGATTGTGGTCAACACAATGAAATTCATTGATAGTCTCTTAGCATGAGATGGGCAAACATCCTAATTGTTGCAGAAGGTAGTTAACAGATGCTTTTTATTTTGTGATTCAAAAGCAGTTTAAGAGATGAACATAAATATCATAGTGTTTCTTCTCATTCATATCGTTTCATAGCTCTTCACTGCCAACCTCCAAAAAATTCAGATGCTAAACTTGGTTGCTTTGTTACGGAACAAGTGTTTAGAGTAGATGCTTCAAACTTGAATATATTATCACCTATTTAAAATATTAAAGATTTACTAGAGTTAACTAAAGACCATACTTCATAAAAATCTCAGTAATTGCACAGCACAATTCAATGTCACATAAATTCTATTGTCCCCAAAATGGATTACTAATATTAATAAATCTAGAAATATTATTAGTGAGCACATTTTTACTTCTTGTCAATATAGTAATGAAGGTAAATATAGGATTTATAGTTCCATAGACTATAGAATAACTAGTCATTAAAATAAGGCAAATATTGCTGGGTGTGGTGGCTCACACGTGTAATCCCAGCATTTTAGAAGGCCAAGGCAGGCAGATCACCTGAGGTCAGGGGTTTGAGACCAGCCTGACCAACATGGCGAAACCCTGTCTCCACTAAAAATATAAAAATTAGCTGGGCTTGGTGGTGGGCACCTGTAATCCCAGCTACTCAGGAGACTGAGGCAAAAGAATTGCTTAGACCCGGGAGGCGGAGGTTGCAGTGAGCTGAGATTGCACCACTGCACTTCAGCGTAGGTGACAGAGTGAGACTCCATCTCAAAAAGAAGAGGAGGGGAGGGGAGGGGAGAGGCAAATACAGTAATCTGTTACATGAATACTCCAAAATGTATAGTATAGCACACTACCCTGGAGTTGTTCGTGGTCATCCAGAAGAAGCATGAGCTTAATGGCATGGCAGTTACTTTGGAGGAAGGCAAGGAATCCAACAGCTAGAATTTG